TTTTGGAGACCTTGACACCCACCCTAATGCATGGGAGCAACATCATATCCCATGTTTAAACCAAGGCTATAGAACTCCAGGTAAGGACACCAGCCGTTTGACCTTGAACGCCGCTGGCCGACCGATGGCGTCATCGGAGGCAAGCCGGCTCGGCGGACGCATCGGGACAATGCATAACGGAGGAGCCTTGGATCGGTGCGGGAGCCGGTGAGGAGCAATTTTAATGCGTTTGCATACCATCATTGTTATATTGATTGATCTGGACTGCATTCTTATAAACCTCGATGCATCTTAGGCCTGGATGGTGCGTACATTCGTAGAACGGTCCGACGGCCGTGGTCGAAGCTCAAGTACTAAAGACGCTAAGACGGGTGTAATAATGGCGACCGGATCCCGTCTCTGGCGATTCTAGAGGGGTCGTTAGAACCCAGGCCGAATCTGACTATTTTTAGGGAAACGGGGTGGGTGAATTGACAACCGATAGTCTAAGAGTTGACGTCGTCGAGCGATGGTTGTTTGACAGACAGCACATAGGACAGCACAGTGGGCGGATAACCAACCATCAGGGATAATGCCTGATCGTAGGCAAGCATAATTGATCTGCCATATTGTTTTGGAATATAAAATCGTAATGGAGGTCCTTGAGGATATGATCTCTACAGGGTGTAACGAAATTATCCGGACATCTTTCTTCGCGCTGTAATTAAGAAGCAAGACATTCTGATATTTTCCCTTTTGAGTTATTATATAGCCACCTTTCATAAGAGCGCAGGTACACATTTTTTTAGCATTCCAGCCACTGGATTTTCCAGCACAGTGGGTTTCATATAGATTAGCGCCTTACTAACCTGTGCCCGCAGTTGGGCGGCGCTGGTGGCGGGTGTCCCCTCATTCATCTCCTGATGGACAATAGTCCATAATATATCGATGGAATTGCATGGGAACTATTTCCAAGCCATAGCCCTTTAGCCCAGAAGAACAAAAAGGTCCTCTCGGCATCACTTCTCATTCTGCTAGGGACTTGAAGGTGGTGCGCCGCCCCGTATGAAGACTGCGCGGCTTGAATCAGGCATCGGTACACGTTCAGAAACCGAGCCATCCTGTACCGTCTGGTTGAGTGGCTCCAACCAATCGCTAGCCAGGATGTTGCGCCGGTAATACTCGTCACTGATAGTGGTTTTCTGTGTCGTCATGAACAGCTTGAATATTACACAGCAGCTGAACATGCTCCAGGTCTGGATTTTGGCCGGATGTTTGACGCCGGCGACGGCCGGCACATTCGAGCTGCTGGCAGCCCACACATGGCCGATTTGACGGTTCAACGGGTATCGCAGCTCGAACAGCTTCCCATCCGACCAGGTCACCTCATTCGTGTCTTCCTTCGACCAGTGGACACGCCCTGGCCTGAAGCCAAAGGTGGTGGACTGGTTGTTTTTCCGTCAATTTCATTGTCTTCTCCAGTTTGAAGGGCAGTAAAACCAAGCTAAAGAGCGGGTAACGGTGAGTCATGATGTGGGACCTCTTATTATCTGCCTTGGTAAGAATTCGAGTCAGTATGCGGATTAATTGGTGCCGTTTCCTTGTCGCTATCTTGACAACTCTCCTCACCACTTGGCAAAGGGCGCCTTTTGCGATCGAGGTCAGGCTGAGTCTGCCACCAAGTCCCAGCTTATTACGCCTCAGGCAGATGTGCTACTGGCTGCTGCTGATGTCCAGCTGCTGACAGACCAGCTTCTGGCTCATGCCACCATGCCACCAACACGTAGCCTTACTACGAAACGAGAGACTGTACTCCTTTCTCTCCACTGCCTTAAACGAAAACTATCAAATGAACCCGTCGGCGACTCGACTCTGACTCAGAGCAAGAGTCATTTCGCAAAGTCAGGTCACTGCTGAGTTGAGAGCAGATACCAGAGGTATGCATTCATCCAATTTTCCAGCTTCTGACATTAAAATAGAAACTGTGCGAGCAGATATGGCGAAAAAATAGATGTCCGGATAATTTCGTTACACCCTGTACATTACGGGGATTCACCACCAGTGAAATTACTCCTGAGTTAAACCCTCGGTCCCGGGCAACTCCGGGGAGCTGCAGAACCCGGCCGCGCCACCTCGTCGACTCGCACGTTCAGTGCTTCACCGAATCACGGTTAGAGCAGCTAAGGAAGTGGGGTGAGGTGTCTGTGCGTCTATTCATTGTAGGTGCAACGCATACAGCGCCCGGTCCCGCCCAAGCTCGGTAACCGACCGTGACATATTCTTAAAGGGACTATCCCACCTTCTAAAATGTTGTTAAAACCAGTTAAATTGTGCCCGACTTTATAGAGTGGATGACCAGGAACACGGTTCTGGCATTTATTTTTCATTAAACATCTTAGGCTTCCCATATTCCAAACACAAACTTTCAAATATGTGACGTCACAGCCCAAAATTACCTCCTTCCCCAGGCCACATTACTGTCATAAAGCTGATTCTTTTTCCTCTGTAGGCACCACAACAAAGTTCAGACCAAGTTTTAAGCGACTTTTCAACGAACAAACCCATTTAAATCAGAATGACTAAACGAGGTGACGTCACACTAACGGTCGCTCCATGTTGAAGATAGGGCCTTGTACAAGGCCCATTTTCAAATGAAGGGAACGAATTTCTTCAACACCAAGAGGCCGCGGGGGTTGTAACCTAGATAGATAGTGGTTTCTGAACCTCGCCGCAAACTTGGCTATCTCAACTCAAACCCCATGTTAAATGTGGGATAGTCCCTTTAACTGGCGGACCCAGGAAGCGGTTTTGGACACTGCGGGGAGCGTACCCTAAAAAGGTTTCTCTAAATAAATAAAAAACGTCGGATATCGATGTCTTGCGCACTGTTGTGCGGTTTGACCAATTAACTTGTCCTCAGAAAAGTTGTGAAGTTTTCGTTTTATTCTCGAAAAACGATTTCGGACGCTGCCCAGGGTGGACCTGTGACGGGATAAATTTTGCCCCAAATGCCTTCCCCTGGGTCTGCCAGTGGATAGCCACACCCTGAGATTAGCTAAAAACGTCTTAAAATCCCACCAGAGAGGCGATGGTAAGGGCAATTCAAATCAAATAACTCATCTCTGTCTGCCCGCCTAAATATACTACACACCGTACGGTGCCCGGCCCTGTCGGAGCTCTGAGCCGACCGTGACATGTTCGGTTTTCCCCCATCACAAGCTCGATTAGAAACGTCCTCCCTCCCCACCCTATCGCTCATGATGTCGATTCAAATTCAGTAACCCATCTCTGTCTACCCGCCCATTCATTGCACACCGTACGACGCCCGGCCCCGCCAGAAGGATCCTAGCGCGCTGAGTGGTTGCCTCCAGCCGCGTCATCGCGAGGCTCCGCGAGGCCCAAAACTGAATACATTGCGTGAATAGCCGTGTCGCCCCACTGGTAATGTCAAAGACTTGGCTACATGCCACTCTGATGTAACTTAAATGCCTTTCCTCGAGGTACATACTGATATCAGCGAAGAGCCTGTCGCGCTGTCTCAGGAGAAAAGCCTTTCTTCTGAATGCTTCTGACAGTGATTCGTTCAGCAAACTACACTGTAAAAATTTTTTAGCACCCATGTCAAAAACCAGCACCCTATACCTGCTTATTTTAAGCAGGCTAAATGGGTACTAAATTTTAGCACCCTTTTCGAAAAATAGCTCCCTGTGCCGGCTTATTTTAAGCACCCTAAATGGCTGCAACCATTCAGGGTGCTTAAAATAAGCCGGCACAGGGAGCTATTTTTCGAAAAGGGTGCTAAAATTTAGCACCCAGCTAGCCTGCTTAAAATAAGCAGGTACAGGGTGCTGGTTTTTGACATGGGTTTTTACAGTGTACTCTTGAAAGCATTTGTTCAAGACTTGACGACAGCCAGCCCCCTCCAAAGTCATATGGCAGCATGGGCGTGACTTTTCCTACTAGCCCATAGGGTTGCGTGATAAAATGAGACTTTTCGCGCTCGGTTTTCAAGGTCTCATAGTGTGGGCATCCACATATAAAGTAATTTGTTTTTGCAATACCTCAGCCGTTTCTCGGCCGATTTAGCTGAAACTTGTCGAACCCATACCCTGACTGTCGATGGTAGGGTATGGTAGGGTAGGACTGGTAGGAGTAGGATAGAGTAGAATTAGGTTAGGGTAGGAGTAGGGTAGGGGCAGGGTTGAGTTAAAAAAAGACCTAACATACATAAGACCTGAACACCCCGCAACTATCCCCATTATACCTTACAGTTTAATTAAAAACAGCTACCCAAGTCCCAAATCTACCCAAATAATACAGCTAAAAATACAAGTCACTCACCCAAACTAATGCACCCGTAGCAAAACATACAGTTATTGCGTAAAGCTGTACCTCTACTTACCTCAAAATCGGCAAATGGGCATTCGTGTGCGTTCGCTGGGGAATTACGGGCGTTAATGGGTTAATATCACAGCCACGAATGCATTCCATATTTACCCAGAAAGAACTATCAACGCGCTCAGTGGCGCAAAGGGTCTGTCCAAACCCGCGCTGCCCGGCGCACCACTATCCCGGAGGCGGTTGACGAGGCTGACCTCACTGACCTCGCTCTGCGACCCGACTCTCGGTCACGCCACAACCTAGAAGCGCTAGCCTCGACGCAAGGGCACCTGGCACCATTCATGCTGTCTACAAGAGCGGTGATTGGTTCGCTGCCGAATCACGTGGCTGGGGCATCAGGCAGTGGCGTTATCAGGAATTTAGTTACGAATCTCCTCAACAGATGGCTCTGACCAACGATTTTAAAATGCGGAGTGATCCAGAGGTAGACAGCAAACGATAAGAGTACAGCTGAAAAGATCTCGGCACTTGTGAGCTACACTCCAAGTTTCACATGGCAGTCGGACAAATAGGTCCTAAGATACAAACCCTAGCCACCACGGATACCGCACATTACTTCAGCGGTGACCTGTACCTAGATCAAGCGTATCCGTCCTCACTGGATAAAGGTAAGGTGCGGATTTTATATGTATTGAACGGAGTTAAACAGTATGAAACAAATATTAACTAACAATATGCAAATTGCAAAGGCAAGCATTGATTACTAAAAGAGCTCTTTCAAAGGCTCTTCAATAAATACCTAATTAGCCGCTCATTTCAACACTTCATTATCACAGCAACATCGGATCACACTTCTACATACTCTTAAATGTCTTCTTTTCCCGAGTATGAATTACGATATAATTATAAACTATTCCGAAGCCCAGAGTGATTAAGAGTGTAGAACCCTTGTAAATGGAGCAATGGTGACAATCAGTCGAAAACGAAATTGAGCAAGCGGCCGCATAGTATGACGTAGCAGCTGAGCGAGCTCAGTTAAAGCCAGGCTAACTAGCGCGTGCGCCGTGCTATGAACCATTTGCACTTGAAACACGCAAAACAATTACTCATTTCCTGTTCACTGTTTAGCCCATCTATAACCAGTACAATGCAAATAGACCAATGAGCCGGCGCGCTTCCCAGCGGCGCGCCGCCCCTGGCTATAGCTGCTGCCCGGTCTCAGCACAGTCGAGCCGGCTAGCTGCTCCCCGGTCTCAGCACAGCCGAGCCGGCTAGCTGCTCCCCGGTCTCAGCACAGTCGAGCCGGCTAGCTGTTCCTCCTGAGAAGCTCCTGCAGCGCCGAAATGTAGGTCTGCGCCATCTGGAGCGTCTCAAACTTGGAGAGCTTCTTGTCGCTGCCCAGACAGGGCACCACTTCCCTGAGGCGCTCGAAGGCGTCGTTGAGGCCGTTCATCCTGCGCCGCTCGCGGGCGTTGGCGGCCGTGCGCCGGCGCCGCACCACCTCCTGGGCTGGAGGTTCGGTGCGGCGCCGGCGGCCGGCCCGGCGCCGCACCGGCTGGCTGGCCGGCGGCGACCGCTCGCCGGCCGACGCCAGCTCGGTGGCATACTGCGCCAGCTCGGCGGCATACTGCGGCAGCTCGGGCGCGCACCGCTCCAGCCGGCTCCCAGTGCAGCAGCCGGCCGGCGGGTACGGCGAGCACTGCTGGCCGGCCGGCGGGTGGCCGTAGCCGGCGGCGGCGTGCCCGCTCGACGCCGCGCCACCGGCCGGCCGCTCCGGCACCAAGACGCAGCTCTTAGCCGGGAAGCAGAAAAGCTCACCCTCGAGCATAGCGTTACCGGCGTGTCAGGTCCACCGTGTCAGCTGTGTCAGTTCTGGGGTATCACCTGACAGTTCTGCGGTATCACTTGCCAGTTTCGCAGTATCACCTGTGTCAGTCCTGCGGTATCACCTGTCAGTTCCGCAATGATACTCCGTACGCCGAAGTGCGTCAGTTCCGCAATATCACCTGTATCAGTTCTGCGGTATAACCTGTATCAATCAGTTCCGCGGTATCACCTGTATCAGTTCTGCAGTATCAGTTGTATTAGTTCCGCGGTATAACCTGTATCAGTTCTGGGGTAGCACTGTCAGTTCCGCGGTATCACCTGGAACAGTTCCAGGCGCGGCTCTTGTGAAAATTGTCGGCGTTTAATCAACGTTGCTGTTACTTCTTGCTTATAAATTTGTGTCTTGACCAGATTGGGTATCGGTGCGCAGCTTGCCGTCCGTGGAGCCGCTGAAAGTCTCAATCGCTAGCACGTGCGGCGGCGAGCACTGTCTGGCACTGGATCGTCGGCGGACTGACGGGCGGCCTACCAGCCGTCGGCGCTGTCGCCGCGCGGCTCACTGGGCCCGCCGTCCGCCGCCACTGCAGCTGGTCACGTGCCCGCCGTCCGCCAGTCACAGCGCGGGGGCGGAGCTGAACTGGCAAGACTCCTCGCCGGCAAGATCAGGTGCAGGAAGGCACAACTGCAAGTGTAATGCATACTGCATAGGCACCAAACTACCTATTTTTCAAATGTCTCCCCAACTGCTAAATTCGAAATTAGCTGACTACTCCTAAAACCGTAAAACTCCAAACAATCAACCGAAGTCACCAATCGTCAATGACCTGAGTCTGGTCGACAAGTCACATTGAAACCCACCATGATGCATGGGACAACCATCAGTTCACGCTGTATTTGTATACGTAATTCTGAAAACAGATAAAAGAAATCAAAAACCCTAAATAAGAATAGCAATCGTTTGCGACAACATATGGCTATAACTTAAGCATAATTTGTCCAGTAACATTGCATTAATATTCAAATTTCAATTCCTTACATTATAGTGGGCGCCTTGTTCACATTATCATCGCAGAATGGCGTCGTTTCGCCACGCAGGACACGCCACGCAAGCGTTTGTAGCGGCTGCGCCAAGCTCGGGACGCCTTCGGCGGGAGACGAGGCCAGTAAATAAATGGCCGCGGCGACAGTGCCTGTGCTTTCCTCTAGTCAACGGCACATGCCTGTTACACCATCAGTCGGCACATCTGTGTATAATCACAAAAAGTCTGAAAAGGTACGGATAGGTGCCCTACCATACAGTAAATCATTTAGTGGTATGGTCTAAGAAATCAGGTTAGAGGCCAAAAGTCGTTGGTTTCGGGGTCATGAACTTTATAGGGGATGTGTAACCAGTGCACCGTATAGGGATATTCCCGATCTAGCCTGTCTAGCCTGTGTAAGTCCCAGAACCGAGTGTCTCTCTTTAATCATTCTTTTGTGCTCATTTTGCGTAAAACTGTCTGAATTTTTACGTCATATGTGTCATTTTACCCTTAGGAATAATGCTGAGTACAAAAATGAGCTCAAAGTCAGGCATTGCTTACTTTTCACACCGGGTATAAATGGATGCTGAAAACAAGCACGCGATTCTGTGGCTTATAACTGGAAACCAATGATATCCAGCATGACAAGTGGCATATGGTCTAATGGCCACATCATTTTGAAGTATGTGGATGCATTACAATAATATATGTCAAATTTCGGGGTTCTCAACGCCAAATAAAACATACACTGTAAAAAAAGTTTAGCATTTGGGGTACTAACGGCTGCTATTCGTAGCACCTTTTAGCGTCAAAAGAACCCTACGACGTATTTACAAAGAAGCATGGTGCTAATACTGTGCTAATGATAGCTAACATTCCCATCAAATATTATAAGTTTAGATCACCTATTCTTCTACTGAGCTTAACGTCTACTTCTGCTAGTACCCAGTCCATCAGTGAGTGCTATTTCAAGCTGGATTTCTAATTAGAACCATTTTAAGTGTTTTAGAAGTTGGTAATGCTGAATCTGGTGCTTACGTTAGTATCACAATAGAACCGGACATGCTTACAGAGGAAACAAATTTGAAATTGGCGCCAAAGAAAGTAGCTAAGCCCTGCTTTACAAATCTCTGGGAGTCTTATCACCAGCCCTTTAGCACGTTTTGACGGCGCACAGCGATATGCGCATGCGCGTGCCAGCTGTTTCCGGCCACGTGTTGCGCCATTTTAGTGGAGTCCGTTGGTCGTGGTGGGAGTGTGTGCACGAGCTCCGGTATATGAAGTGAAATGAAGTGAAGTGAAGTGCTCCGGGCACATGCTACCGAGTGATAGCTCTGGAATGATAGCTTAAATCAGCTATTATCGGTGGAATCCGTCGTGCGTGGCATGGGAGTGCGTGCCCCTGCTCCGGGAGGCAGTGAGGTGGAGGGAAGTACAGTGCAGCAGTGCAGTGAAGTGAAGTGAAGTGCTCCGGGGCCGGGTGGTACATGAGCATTTGCCACCGACACATGCCACCGACACCGACGTTGATCGACTTTGGTGAGTCTGACACGTTGTATCTTTTGACATTATCTTATATTGTTTAAGTGCTTCATATTCCGACTTTGGCAAATCGCGCTTCTTGGTCTGAAGGAAAGTTGTGTTGTTTGCGAAAATAGCTCCCAACAGAAAAAAAATATTGGAACTGATCCAGTTTTTTTTTGCTCCAGGCATGGGGCCTGGTCAGTTCTTCCGTCGACTACCACTTACAATGAAGGACAACTACGACAACAACACGGGGTCTCCGGTTCCGTCTATCACTAAACGCCGTCTGGTCGTGGATGAGGTCGAACTTATGGCCATGAACGGAACGTCGGTTCAACGACCCCCCCCCCCCCGCCTCCCCCAGTCGATCTCGCGTTAATCGTCGGTCACTGCGAGTGTGCAGGTATATGAGCGACCTTTCGTTATTTCCCGTGCGTTTGTTTGTGTATATATTTACATTTGTTTTTCATGCAGATGATATGAAGTGTTAATAAATGTTCCATTATTATTTTTTAATTTTATAATGTGTTGGATGCTTGAAAGATGCACTTACACGGGAATATTGCAGAATGCAAAACACAATCATTGAGACTTGTAGTTATCACTTGTCTAGGATATAACCTTTTTTGCACGTCTTTTCGGCCTTACACAATTTCCTTTTTGGTAGGGGAAGTTGGGGCAATGCCGGAGTTCGGGCAAAGCCGAAATTCGAGATATTTCTAAAACCGTACGACATGGATGCCACGTCTCAGTGATGCTCTGAAGCTTAAGTGACTACAATTATCGCATGTTTGTTACGAGTCGTCATTTTGAATACTTCGGCTGTGAGGGCGCCAAAAGCGTTTTCAAGGTACGTTTCCCTTGTACTATATGCGCCTTTGAAGCTGCATTTCTTACTCATTATGCTACCGTTTGTCTGGCCAATTCGGTCAAGTAATCTTCAGCATGTCTTTGCATAAGTGTGCTGCCTATTTGAAATTTATACAGCACGTTTAAAAGTTATGGTCCTGCAAATGAAAGTATGGCTGGCTGGGGTAATGCCGAAAACGTGCAATTACGCACGTTAAAGCACGCTACGTGGACTTTACTGCTGTAGAATAGCAACGCGTATTTTTAGTCAAACAAATTACACTTTTAGCCGGCACAACGGCCTGTTACCTATAAGGAATGATTTACCTGGCATTTTCTTATTATATCACACAATTATAACTTCCAGTGTGCACCAAGCGTCCTCAATCTTAAAACGCGTGTCAGCTTTGATGAATTTTGGATAAAGTTTGAGATAAATTGGCAAAACATCAATGTCGGCACTCCTCGTAGATCATTTATCCCATTTTCGGCTTTCCCCGCAGTCCGGGGCAACGCCGAAAAAGTCAGTTCTTTGATATTTTTAGTTTTTGCGCTTAACGGTATGCGAATTCATCAAATGCGCCTGGTATGTTTGAAAGACAAAAGACTGGCCTCTCGAATGACGCCAACATGAATAGCTTATGTTGTCTACCTTGCGTGCTACGGGCGTCAGAAAAAAAGTATTCGGCGTTCCCCCAACTTCCCCTAATTGATTAGTCCTTTTTGCAGTGTGAAAGTATGTGCTGCTAAAGAAAGCAGTTTTTGCGAACTTTTCATGCAGCAGCTTTAACTAGTATAGATATTCTACTTTCAGCACCAATGCTTTCGTTAGCATTATTCTACTTGTCGTGGGGTAACAATAGCGCTAAAACGGTTCATATGTGAGTACGGAAGGTACTAACTGCATGCTATTCTTAGCACCTTTTAAAGTTTAGCACCGCTAGGGTACTGAAAATTGGTCTAGCAGGTGTAGGGTACTACATTTAGTACACGGGTGCTAAACAAATATGGGTACTTATATTAGCACCCTGATACTAAACTAGATCTCAGTTGAGTACGAATAAAATGCTTAGCTTAGCACCGCTAGGGTACTGAAAATTAGTCAATTGAAAAGTACCTCTATGGTGCTAAACTTTTTTTACAGTGTATTGTAAACGCTGTTTTTGTTATCAGTACGGTTTTGAAAAAAAAAAAAACAGAAAATCAACAACTTCAAACAAAAGTTGACACTACCAATTTGACACCATTCGATTCGTTGTACAATTCTAGGTTAGGATTACATTGTAACTTTTGCTACTTTTTGCTCCTCTGGGAATTCGGCCGCCTCATAACATAGACGGTAGTAGGGTGGCACACGGTTGAAGCTGCTGAGGCTAACCAAAATGCAGTTATACCGCTCATATTTGAAATTTGCCCATTCCTTACTTCACAAATCACTGATGGTTGAGTGGTCATTTTTTAACCTGGCGAAAAAGAATTTTTCTGTTAAGTTTCAAAGTTTATTGTAGCAACTTTAAAATACACAGTATATACGCTTAAACTGCTAGTGATTGTATAATGTATATGTATATTGTTCATTTTGACAAATGTTCAGTTTAATGAAAAACAATATCAAATTCTTATCTGTGTTCAATGTAAACGCGTTTCGACTATTTCTTTATCAATACATTGATACAATACAGATATAATGACTATGAACACACCCGATTCAATGTGGGTGAACGCGTTTGAAATATGTTTGAAATGAACGTGTTTGAAATATCAATCTCATCGCTCGCGTTCACCCACATTGAATCGTGTGTGTTCATAATCATTATATCTGTATTGTATCAATGTATTGATGAAGAAATAATCGAAACGCGTTTACATTGAATACAGATAAAAATTTGATATTGTTTTCATTAAAATGCTAGTGATTTCCACGAAAAAGATACAAAAAACGCACCTTTCGACACAAGGCGGCATTGCGAATTCAGCACCGATCGATTCGGTGTATACTTCTTGCTAATTGCACACCAAAATTATTGCTATTTCTTCTTCTTCACGGAAGCAGGCGGTCACAGACGGCAATGGGATGGCGCCCGCACGACGCTGCTTAAGTTAGCTGGCATGCAGTTGTGATTGTGACTCATATGGTTCACCAGTATAACGCCTTTTGGGGCGACTAACGGAGCGAGCGAGAGGGTGGGCTTTGCACGTGCGAAATTGT